GGATGTCGGTGGAACCGTCGCCTACTGCGTCGGCTGCGCGGTCATCCAGATCACTTATGTCCAAAGAAAAAGTGGTGGACCCTATCGGACATAGGCGTTGTGAATAACCGATTTGCACTATCATTCGGTGAACCTCCTTTACAGTTATAAAACTAGGAGACAACGTTACAGTCGCCCTCAAATCGATTATTCCGGTGGAAAAAGTCTGGGGTTGGGCTCTTTTATCCCCAAACGTCTTGAGAGAATGAGACCGACTTTTTTCCTACAGGCCATCACAAATTTGAAAGGCCAGGGGTGTTTTGGTGCTGACTGGTTGATCTGCCCAAATTCGGAGACGGTGTAGCAGCCGCTCCAGCGTACCCTGCTCCAGCTCCGTCCTGTCGGCCGATGACCGCGAAAACCGTTGACATACGGCCACCCCCACTGCCAGAACTCAGGCATCTCCAGCCCAACTGCAGTGATTCATGGCTGCCCTCACAAACTTTCACCACCTCACGCGCGTTGGACGGTCTGGCATGATATCGGTGAGGCCTTGGAGTACGCAGCCCCCACCCCCCCCCTAGTCCTCCCCTAATTTGTTGAATCACATGACCAACACTCAGCCAGTCACTCCCTCCTGCTGACACAGATATTTACTCCGGCGTAAACAATACGACGCGACTGACGCCTCATGCTCTTCGGAATCCTGCAGACGGTTACTGCTTCTATGCGGTCTGCCGAAATATCTCGAGAGTGGAGGGTCTGGTGGACGTTTTTACCTAATGTTACTTCAAAAGGTCAGTTGGCTAACACCTATTTTAGTTAATTCATCGTCAGGGCAATACACTAGATGGATACTGAGCTTGTAGGATATTGAACTAGCGACTTACTGAAAGGATTTAAATGTATCTAATGGGGCATGGCTAGTCAAAACTCCTTGATCCCTCACCGGCTGCATGACGGAGTCAGCTTGTTGAGGAGGGTTCAGCTGGGGTGGGGAGAGGGTGTGGGTTAGGTTGTGAAACAGGCAGTATGTCCTCTCTGGTCGCCTTCAGGTGGTGGTCTCATGACGCACCCACGCCCTGAACATATTCACACGCACTCCGCGTGCTTGATACACAGACAGCGATCACAACCTAATCCGAAACCTCCCTCTTCTTTCACAACACTCAGCTTCACTGTCTTCAATAACCTGACCCCATCATGATGGCAGTGTGGGACTAGGAAGTTTGACTAACTCTGCACCCTGAGGTATTTAAATCCTGGAAATAACTCACAAGTTCAGTATCCATTTCATTGTTTTGGGATGACGATGAATTACCAAAATATGTTTTTCCACCGACTTGTCCATCGGTATACAGGAATCTTTGCTGGTTGACGAGCAGAGGTAATAAAAGTATGTCGAATTCGCCTTTAGCAAATGTTGCCTGGAAACGTCAATGAACTCTTGGGAACAGTAGGTTGTATAGCCAAAGCCGAAATTCGAAGGTTGAAGATTCGTTGTCCTTGTCGTACAATAGGCGGATGGCGTCCACATTCCGGATTACAAACTGTGATCTAACCGATAAACCTGTCGTACGTAGCACAGCCTGCGGAACGTGCGAGTACCGCGTGGGAGGTCGCAATGGAAGCAGAAAATCACGTTTTCAATTTAGGTCAAGCCCTGTTTGTGGGAACAACAACAGCCGCGGTAGAACCAGAAGACAAGTAGCTTAAAGGGAAAGTAGGTATCAGTATCAGTTTATTAAGGGAAATCTAGGCAAGCGCCTTTTAACTCCCTATTGGCTACAAGTCGTCGGAGAAAAACATTGATAAATGGGAAAGTGAAAAAGGGATTTTGTACATGCTCTCGGACAGCTGAGAGCTAGTCGAAAAAGAGTAATCATTAACGGTTACTTACTGCTTACAAGTAGTATAAATACGTATAAGATGGCACCGGGTTATGTGAGTGGATGTGAGGGTGGTAATCGGGAGGCTTGATGCGTGTCAAGTCTACACTTGAAGGAATTCAAATAGGATGAGGTTACAACATCGGTAGACAGGGCATTCCGCGCTGCCACCACTCTCTTACTGAAAAAAAAACTTTCGTCCATTTTTTCTTGATTTCCCTGCGAGTAGTTTTAGGGGGTGACCGCGCAAAGTGGGCGTGTTAGCTTAGATGAAATAATCAGTGGGATCTGAACAACAGTCTAGGTCTTTGATGATGCGAAATGTTAGTATGAGGTCACCGCGTAATTGCCTGCAAGAAAGGGGGAGTAGGTGGAGAGTTAACAGCCTGGTTTCATAGGGCAGTGCTCCCAGACCTTGTGTCATTTTGGTCGCCCGTCTCTGGACCTTCTTCAAGACGGTATAATCCTTGGCAGTCAAAGGTCTCCACGCCTGTATGGCGTATTCTAGATGAGGTCAGACGAAGGTGCCCAAATATTTTGGAAAAACAGTCAGGGTCAAATCCCATAAATGCTCGCCTAATGAGTTGAAATGTGGCCGTATCTGATTTAGCAGCCTTCGCGCAGTGCAGTGTTGGTTTGAGTGAAGATGTAATCCATACACCCAGGTCCTTGTGACTGTCAACCTGTTGCACTGGTGTGCCGTGTAGAAAGTAGGTCTTGGGGCTGGGGCTCTGAAGCTGCCGAGTTGAAGAAAGTTACGCTTGCTAATATTGAAGGGCATAAGCCAGCGCTTCGACCAGTCTTCGAGCCTGTTCAAGTTTGCTTGCAGGTGGTCTGCCGCATTGCGAACAACCTTCACAATTGTATGTCGTTGGCAAACAGGATGGCATCGCAGTCTAGGTCCTTGACGCAGTAATTTATGAAAACGAGGGATAACGTGGGACCTAAGACTGAGCCCTGTCGGACGCCACTCATCACGCTTACCTCCATTGACTATTGACGCCCTACCTGCACTCTTTGGGACCGTCCAGCCAAAAAGCTCTGGATCCATACAAGAAGACGTCCACGAATTCCAGCGTTGCGCAGTTTGTATAAGAGACGTTGATGAGGAACGCTGTCGAAAGCCTTTTGAAGTCGATGTAGATGGCGTGCACCACATTGCCTTCACCAAGTGCTTTGGTCCAGCGTTTGAGCGTAAAGAGCAGATTCGTGAGGCAGGACCTACCACTTCGAAAGCCGTGCTGCGCATCGAAAAGGAGGTGGTGATGCTTGAGGAACTGCGTCAAGGCCTTCTTAATGATCTTCTCCATGATTTTGCAACAGATGGAGGTAAGACTTACTGGCCTGTAGTTATTCGCAGGCGCACGACTTCCACCCTTAAAAAGTGGAGTGATGGTAGCGGACTTCCAGTCAGAGGGCAGGCATCCAGTAACAAATGACGTTTGAAAGATCAAGGCTAACGGCTTGGACATTTCGGGAGCTAGCTACTTCAGCAGCTTGGCCGGGATTGCATCAGGGCCTGGGGAGGTCGATTCTTTTAGGTTTAGCTACTCATTCCAAGCAATTGTTTCGGTGAAGAAGACGGCTTCGAGGGTAGGCGTTTCCTCGTCTTCATAAGCGGATGAGGAAAAATCAGGTTCACTTGTCACGACGGACCGGAATAACTGAGAGAAATGTTCAGCCTTATCCTTGTCATCGGAGACTCCCGCACCCTCAGCCGTTCGCAGCAGCGGGACGGGATCTTTGTTCCATGTGCTCTGTCTTATGTAGCTGTAAACACTTTTGCGATTAGTCATGGCACGGTTCAAAAGTTTCTTTCCAAAGCTTTCCGATCTCTGGCGATGAGACGTTTGACCCGATTTCTCTGTAACTTATAACTGCCTAGGGATTCTGGCGTGCGGTCCGTCAGCGATCTTTTCCATAGCTTCCTCTTCTTGTTAACTTTTTTCTTTAAGGATGGAGTCAACCAGCGGGGTCTATTTGAAGTCCTTCTGCGCGTGATTGGGCAGTGGTTGGAGATGAGGTTGTGGACTAACTCTTTGAACTGACACCAAGCCTCTTCGACATCGCCGGAAAGAGTGGATGCCCAGTCGATAGGACCAAGATCCTTTTTCATCTGTTCGAAATCGTCACGCCAAATATTAGGTTGGGAATCGAGCGGTTGTGCAGGAAGCGAGAATAATGTGTATTTCCACCCAACAGAGGGAGGCAATTCACAACGTCGATGTTGTCAGACGACTTGGTGAACACAAGATTGAGGCAGTTCATCTGTTGGCCCTCTCGAACTCTCGTTGGAAACATTACGTGTTGGGTGAGAAGCAGATTATCGGTGGTACGCAGTAACTGCTGATCAAATGCTGCTTCGGGGCAGTCGGCTGAGGCCGAGCTCCAGTTTATGTGGGGGCATTAAAATCTCCAACGATGAGAGTAGTCGGCCGCGTTGAAAATAATCTGAGCTCCTACAGCATGTGGGCATCTGCGTCAGGGTCATTTCTCGCGGGGCGATATACTGTCAAGATATCGATACTTTGAGAGCCTGTTGCCCTTATGGTCAGCCATAATGCTTCAGTACTTCAAGTCAGTTGGGCAGTTTTTTCTGAAACGTATAAGCCATTTTTAACAAATGTTACTATGCCTCCGTCCCTTCTGTTTTCTCTGTCTCGGCGAAACAGTTGAAATCCAGGGAGAATGAGCTACTTGTCATCAACCAATTTGGACAACCATGTTTATGTTATTGAGATAACGTCTGGATGGAGGTCGTGGGTTTGGATACGGAGTTCGTCCAGTTTTGAAAGTACACTTTGCGCGTTGGTATACATGAATATGAGTTTCGAGTTCATGCGAGATTTGTTTTCAACCCCGACACGGGCTAATGAGGTAGCTGTGCAGTCATTCGGATCGGCTTGATCCAAAAGGGAAGCGGAATGTCGTTTGACAATCCGGTCGTTGTAGATTGTCAGGTTTTTTTTCCGTTGGTTTGCCGTGTTCTCGATTCTAGGACAAGTTCGAGGCGCTTCATTCCCTCGGCAGGTGAGTAGTCCGGCTGAAAAAACACTCCTTTATGGGAATGCTTCAATCAAAAACGCCTGGAAAGGATTAGTTTCGCCTGCTCATTGATACCTAGGACGATTTTTAGGGGTCGTGGTCGCGTCTTCGGAGCGGCATTTGTACAGCTACCAAACGAAACGACTTTAGGACTGTGACATCTTTTGTTGGTTGCAGCATTTCATTTAGGAGTTTCTGGAATTGCTCTAAGTCGGCAGCGATTCGTTCCCTGAGGGTACTGGCGGAGGACTCTGGGAGGCCCTGATTTATGATGCAGTGGCCCTTGTTAAGCATTCCTCTGTTTTCTGCGATTTGGACGTCGTTGGCTGGCCCATTGGCCTCGTCGAAGTGGACTGGAGAAGAGGAAGTGGCTGCCATATTGGTATTTATGTCCCTGTGAAGTTCGTCCGCGGATCCTGTTAAGGCATCGTGAATAGTTGCACACTGTGGTCTATCAACAATGCCTCCCATCAGAGGGCTATGTGGAGAGCTTGACCCTCATGAATTAGAGGCTTCCTCAACTCAGTCACAGTAGGAGAACCCAACCGTGGTACCAAGGCAATCCCACTGAACACTACCCGGCACTACAAGTATGCGGAATGGAGTAGAACATGTGGGCTAATGCAAACCGAACACCCGAGTAGAAAAGTCCTAAACACTGCTATGCAATTGTAGGCGATATTGGCGGAGGGAAGACGTGAAGGGCTGGGCATCATAACAGCCTCTCCGTCGTCCACCTGTAATCTTTAAATATAGGCAGCGAGTATAGCAATGGTAAGGCAACAACACCAGAGCCAAGCCACGTTCCCGAAAGAAAGGTCGAATGCGTAACATCGCAACCTGACCGACGCCGGCGAACAGCGAAACATAAGTTAACACGCCTACTGATGACAATCAAGAACGCCAACAATCTCGACTCATAATACCAGGCTACGAACTGCGATCTTATCATTTCTTGTTTCTTATCAGTTTGGTAAAACTGGGAAATCTTGAAAGGGTAACGGCTACGGTCATATTGGCTAACAAGGCCCCACTAGTAATTTAAAGAATCTACCATGCCAATTAATACGGTCTCGTATCCTAAAATTTTCAGCTAGGACATGTTATTGTTATGTATGCAAAACAGAAGGTGGGCTGGAAATAGGGCGTGTACTGAGTACGGGAAACAGCACAAGTGGAGAGGCTTGTGGAAAAGGTCGGGCATATGGTAGGGGGGGAACTGTCATAGGCTGATGGATGATCAATTAGCACAAAGAAGGTGTGAAGAGGAGCCATGACTCTGATCGTACGCTTGTCACGCGTTTGCGGCATGATGTCCTGACAGCCCGGGCAGCATCCGCTGCATCCCTCCGTCCTAAATTGGAAAGCAGTGGAAGGAGGGAGGAGACAGTAAAGATAATAGTGGGTAGTTAAACAATGTTCTAATGAAACTCGTCCCGAAAGCGTTTGACAGGTTTGCGGATTCGAGTCGATCTTCTCAGGGCGGTATTTTCGACCTCTGCGCCGATTTGTGCAGTCACTGGCTCCTCTGCCACTAAACTAGTGCTGGGTAGGGTAGAAGAAGGAGAAACATACACCTCGATCGGTGGCGTAGTCCTCTATGCAGGCAGTAGCGGTACAGTCCTCGGTGTGTCAGAAAACCTATGAAGGGTTGCTGACAGTTAAAGCTTTCCGAATTCTCCACTTACTGTGTCCGTTCGTCTGCGAACTTGGTCCAGATGTCGACGCCAAATTCTCCCATCTTCTAACTCAAATTATACTATTTGCCTTTCGCGTTTTTCAACTACCGCTCGACACCAGTTCATTTAGTGTTCTAGTCGCCTGTAGACACTTTCCTTAGGTGAGGCGACTCGTGGTCGGGTGTTCACATCATACCATGCTTTTATCTTAGTCTGTTTTTCAATGACACTCTCATGCTTTGATGGATTAAGCAGGTTAAGTCGTGTGCGCAACTGCCGCTTGAACATCAGTTCTGCCGGTGAAGCGCCGGTTTTGTCGTTTGGTGTTATGCGATAGCTAGACAGAAAGCGTGACAACTTGATGGCCATGTCCGTTCCCGTCCGTTTAGCTAGTCCTTGCTCCATTGTCTGGACTGCGTGATCTGCGAGGCCATTAGAAGCAGCGTGGTACGGGGCAGTATTTAAATGCTTAATTCCACTTGTCTCCATGAATTCTTTAAGTTCTGCGCTAGTAAAGGCCAGACCATTTTCTAAAACGACCATTTCAGGTATCCCGAAATTCGAAAAAACTGGTTACAACTTTGATTGTAGTCAGTGAATAATAGGAATTCCCCGTCTGAATCGCATCAATGCATTTAGTATTGGCGTCAACCACCACGAAGACCATATTGCCTTGGAACGACCCAAAACAATCGACGTGTACCCTCTTCCACGGCGAGTCGGGACAGGCCCAAGGCTTCAAAGGTACCTTCGGTGAGGTCTTCTGTGTTATTTGGCACACGTGACATGCTTCCACTACATTTTCGATATCTGCGCCAATTCTGGGACACTAAACATAGCTGCGGACGAGATCTTTCATTATAACTGTACTAGGATGAGCATTATCCAGGTTTCTAAAGATGGCCTGGACTTGTGATGGAACAGCTACACGATTGCCCCATAGTATGCATCCGTCTTGTAGACTAAAGTCGCACTGACGGCTGAAGAGTGGTTGAAAATAAGGGACGAAGAGGACAGTCAGCCAGATTGAAAACTCTTTTTACATGACTTAAAAGAGGGTTTGTAGATGTCCACTATCGAATTTGGCAGCAGGTTACATGTGAGTTTACTAGGTTCTGCAAAAGATTCGCGTTCTCAAAAACAGGTGTTCCGTCAACGCCACCGTTTACTATGATAAGCCTACTAAAGGCGTCAGCCACCACTTTTGCACTAACCGTAACACATTTCTTTGCATATGTGTAAGCAGACAGAGAGAGTGCCCATCGTTGCATTCTTGTCAAGGCCATCCGTTGTGTCCCTCGTTTATTCTCAGCAAATCTAAGAGAGGTTCGTGATCAGGGTAAATCTCGATGGGTTGGGACAACGATATTTCTGTGCCGTCAATTTACGAGAGACTACAGATCTCCAAACACCCTTCAGAAGACTCGAGTCAGCGCGCGGAGAAAAAGACAACGTCTTTCTCAGTCGCTGTTTGTTCTGTCTAATGTGTCAAGTATCCAACCAATGTATCAGTGACTTTATTACGAATCTGACTCTTGCCATACAGGACTGTAGGCTTAAAGGGATCAGGGCAGACAACCTCGACCACACAATGCTAATTCAGCAGTTGATTTTTGGTCTGTGCAACGAAAGAGCTCGGAAAATCTGATGTCAGAGAAAAAGGATTTGTCATGGGATAAAGGCTGTGATATCGCCAGTTATCAGTAGTGCGTATAGTAAGGCCTTCAGTAGCTGAATCAATCAACCGACGGAGGGATATCATCCATGGAATATATAATAGCTGTCTCCCTGGTTGACACTACTGTGTCTTCATCTAGACAGCGACCATCGGCTCCCCCAAAGCAACTCTCATCCTTCTAGCGTTGTGGTCAGCATCATATCTGGTGGTCAGACTGCAGACACCAAAAGACGGTATGCCAGTTTTGCAAGAAAATCGGCCACATCGAACAAGCGTATTTCTCCACAAGACGAGCGAACATAAACACGCACGCATGGGAATGGCGAGAAAACACTCCGAGTGTTTTCGGCTAACGCGCAGCTCCAGTCGCCCTACACCATTACGCTTCCGATTGATCACCATCCCGTGAAGTTTGAAATCGACAGTGGTTCAGCTGTTACTCTCATTAATGAGGCTGATACACATATATCTGACAGACTAAATGCAGTGACACGGCACTTGTCACACACATGATAGTTCGTCGTAAAAGACGCCTACGGTGTGCGCCACGGAATGGGCGCGACTTTGGTGACCGAGCGCGAAGTAGTTTTCAGTGAGGCAGTACTTCGCAGCATTTATCACACTCTACTTCCTCCATTGCCTCCACTCTCTATGGAGACAATATCGAGGCAACCGAATGTGGGCCTGGCCGCACTGAAGGAAGAGACTAAACTGCACGTCTGCACACGCCATAGGCGTCCTGCTCACAACGACATGTACCAAGCAACAGAAGGCAATATGCCACCCCCCCCCAGTCAAATGAGATGGATATGTTCTGACAAAAGACATTTCGTTTGGTCTTTTGGCCATGGCGTGGTGGACCGCATGTTTGCTGCGGCAGGGGCATGAGGGTCACTGCGAAGTGTCATGTATGCGTCTGCTTTGAATCATGTTCGTAAAAGACTGAAGACTTTTCGTAAGACGAATGTGTGGAAGTGGCCCATATGTCGGGCGAACGTCCTGGAAGCAGTGTAGTCAAGTGATGCGTATGTGTAGAGGCCCCTGACACTGGTTTTCCGGCCTTGATGAGAGGGACCTGTAAGTAATTGTTCAGGCCGACGAGTGACTCAAATGTACGACCAGAGTATAGGAAGGAAGGGATCGTGGCTGTTGATTTGGCGGTGGGGATGATGTTTGGGAAGTGGCAACGTGTACGTAATGGTGAAGTTTGTAGTGTTGATGACAGCAGTGTTTGCTGCGGCAGTTATTAACGACCGATTATGGTGGCGTTGCGGCGAACCTAGCTCTCGTAGATGGTCATACGACTGTAAAACCTATGTAGTGGCTGAGCGTCCTGAAGCAGTGTGCTCAGGGGAAGTGCGGGTATATGTGTGGGAAGTTCTGGTTGTTGAAAGTTGAACGTGCCCAATAGTAAATCCAATGACAGATTTCGGTATTTGAGTTTTAATCTTCCCGACAGTTCCTGTGCTGACTTGGTGTAAATTAGTTAAAGCTAACTAGGCACGATAATACTTTAAGCAATGTAAAAGTCGCAGGTGCAGATGTAGATTATAGCACGAAGCGTTCAGGGAGGGCATCGGCGAGTTGAAAGCCTCGCAACTTTGTAATACGATAGTAAACAAACTAGAGAAATGCATGTGTGGGAATTTGGCTGGCTCATCTGTTGTCAGTATGATAAAGCATGCAGCACTTAAACGCTACTGAATTCCCCGTGGCAATCCGCGAATGATACACGGTTATTCCTAATCAACCATTCCCATTCTTTCAGGCTGAGGCTAAAAAATTGCTATTCAGATTGTCAAAATACTAATTATCAAATAAATTTGGGCAGTTGAATTTTCGGTTAGATCGCAGTTGGTAGCCAGGAATGAGGAAGCGGATGGCGACCATAAACGTAGTCCTAACCTTAAACCTAACCCTAACCTCAACACTAAGCGTTAACCATTAACTATAACGACAACCCTAACCCTGACCCTAACCGAAATCGTAAACGTAACCGTAACCCTTAGACATGGCCGTAACCGGGAAACCTAACCGTAATGCTGAAACCTAATAATACGCTCAAACCCTAACCGTAACCCGAAAACCTAAGCCTAAATGCATAACCCTAACCC